TTTTTTTTTTTCTTTTTTAACAGTCCAATTTGTTTTGCAAACAATCATTCGAGAATACGCGCAACACGTACATTACACCGCCAGTGGAGAAGACACATGCAAGAACGCCAAAGGCGCCAGTGAAGTTCAAGAAGCAAATTAAGAAGGGCGACTTAAGGCCGAAAAAGTTACACTACACCGACGACGAACTAGATAATTCTTCAGCCAACGCGGACAGCGGCATTAATGTTCAATTTGACCAATCGAGCCATGATATGTTTCACAAACAACGTGCAACGCAATGCAATAGATTAGATTCTTCGCAGAATCAGATGCGTAGATTACGCGCGAAATTAGACATGATTAAGATGCAAACGGATGACAAAGAAAACGACAAAAGTATTGTAGAAAATAGCAGGAACAATGTAGTACAAGAATCTGTAGGTAGGTATACAAAGTGTGAGAAAATACACACGTACACGTCGAGAGGTAAAGAGATTGGTGCCAAAGGGAAATTGACTCATTTTCGCGTATAACAGTACATGTTAGCTGTTGATTTAATTATAATAAGTACGTTACTATTAAGGGAAAGATTGTAATAAGATTGTATGATATAATACCATTTTTATAAACTGATAGATTTATAATGAGTAAAATTTATGCAAACTTAAAAACGTGTCGGATATTTTAATGGATTTATTGTACTATCAAAATGATATTACTTTCTTTCTTTCGTTCTTTTTGTTCTTCAGCATTCAATCCAAATGCAAAAGTGTTGTCACAGTGTGACAAAAATCTTGATTGGAAAGAGAAATTATATTGGTTACAGCCTAGAAGAGATGTTGGCTTATGGATTGAGTGCTGTAGGAAAAAATGTAAAAAATGGAGATACGTTGAAGATTACCATGATCCGGTAGATGTGCCTAAAATATGGTATTGCGAAATGAATTCTGGTCTGTACACATTTTGTAATATTTTATGTATTTCATACATGTTTAATGTCATTGCGTGATTGATTTCACAGATAAATCAATAGCATCTTGTGATATACCAGAAAATTCAAAATCACAAGCCATCAAAACTGACTTAATTGAAAATGCTTACAATGCAGGTAGCATTGTTTGGGCACATATTAAAGGCTATCCATGGTGGCCTGGTATCGTTAATGATTGTCCTGAAACTTGTACATATTATAAATTATCTAAAAATTCTCTTAAACCTGTAAGATTGTATTTTCTTTCCTGTATGATAAAAGATACTAAGGTATATATAATTATAATATATAAGGCACATATATGCATAATTTGTAGAACGAATACTATGTCACATTTTTTAATAAGGACAAACTTGAAAGTGAATGGATTTCCAAGCAAAATATTAAATCATTTAAAACAAATAGATATACTACACTTATTAGAAAGGTAATTTAATTCTATCCAATTTAATTTTCCAGTTTTACTATAAATAACAATGGCTCTTATTGCAGACAAAGTTTAATGGAATTGATTACAAAAAGCCCTTAGAGGAAGCTTATAAAATGGCTATAAGTTCTCTTTCATTATCAATTTTAGAAAGATTAAAAAGATTCAGCTTTTTGGCATTATATAAGAAATTTTATGACATCAATAATAATTTGTCACAAATAATAAACAACAATGCAACAACAGATATTTCATCAGATATGGACACAAATTCAGATGATGAAATACCTTGTTCAAAACCTAAAAAAAAGCAGTACACTTTGAAGGAATATTATTTAGATGTAATATGCAAAAATCAAGACATGCAATAAATAACATTCAATTCAACATTCAGTAATGAAGTTTTGTCATAAATACAGTATGTATGATATTATAAAGAATTAACATATACTTATGTTTATTCCAGTCCTATTATTACATGATACAATATTAATGTAAAATATTTGTCGTATATAACTTCTTACATTGTCCAAGTTATGCGAAATAAAATTCATAACCTGTAAATTTGATTTCTGTAACTTCACACTCTTCACACTATCCATTTTGTATAGTCAATGACAATAAAAAGCACATATTAAGGATTGAACTACTTATCGACCTAGCAATTACCAGTTGAGTGCACGTTCGATTTCTCAATTAATTCATGAAATGCCCGTATCATGGCAGCACGTAACACAAAACCTGAACTGAAGCCATGAGGTCAAAATAATACCTCATCTGTAAGATGATATGTACATCATTCATTTCTCTTATCTTTCAGCATAAGGTATTTTTTTAAATTCATGACTTTATGTTGGATCTGTACACAATTATTGATTTAAACATAAATTTGTCAGAATTATCCTTTGTAATAATTACTGTCGTTTAGGGAAGAAGAAAAGGCTATAAATTGATTGACGCTTAACATTATCGCATGGGAATTTTAACATTACACTTCAAGCTCTGACGTTTCTGTATGAAACTAGCGTAACAATAATCCTACTTTTCGTCTCTATCCAAGCATTTACAGTTTTGTAAAGTGCAGTAAAATCACAGTGCAACCGAAATTTACGATCCATCATCGATTACGAACACGTCGGTGAAGTTACTATAGAACACTGACTGAAGTATGCATTATTTCCAGCAGGATAGAACGATTATCCGCTATTGTTCTTCGAGCAACGAGGCTCGGTGGCGGATCTTATCGTGAATTAAGGCAAGGTGTCAACGTCAATTATCGACGCGTAACATCTCCTTCGAGAAGTACGGACTATTATTCCTGCGGATCATCGTCAAACAACTGTGCAACGATGATTGAAAATGAAAATGCGAGCCAACGACGCCGCTTAACGACTCTGACGTTCGTTTCCGACGCCGCCATTCCAATTGGAAATGTTTTCTCGAACGGAAATCAAACGTACATACATAAATGGTTGTAAATCGATATGTTAATGCGGCGCAAAGTTCGGCGAGGTCGTTAGGTCAGTGTGACGTCAGCGGATACGGAGACCCTCGAAGTGACGAACTGCGACAACATTTGCATGTTAAACGTTTCTCGAATGTGCATATGTATACACGTGTGATCACGGCCAATGCATTCATTTGCGGCGATGCCCTTTCCATTTATTCTAGGATTCTGCTGCAAATGGAAATCTCGCGACTTCTATATGCTTGGATAAATAATAAACATTCGATTTCTATATCTTTCATCTTTCTAGATTAATACAATGGAGGGAGTAATTTATATTTACCTAACCTAAATCTATTCAATGAGTTCTATAGTAAAAGTATGGTAGTATCAGGACGTGGGATAAATTGATGGACATATATTTTATATTGTGCTATATATTTATAGGTACATATCATATATAAGTAAAATATACATATGTAGGTACATATAATACATATAACATCATGATAAAAATAAGGTGCTTCTAGCATATATTACAGGATAAGTAGAGTTCCCAATGGTAAGAAATGTTTTGCTGGTTTTAGGTGATTAAAATTGAAGAAAGAAAGAAAACAAGGAGAGATGAAGCAGAATAAATCAGGCTTAACGATTGCACAGTCGCTTGTCGCTTCTTCCAATGACCTGTGATCCACTCTCTGATCCTTCACTGTTAATACTCCCCCCTGTTGGCTCCAGAATGGGGAAAAAAAGAGAAACGATAACCTCAGATACCGTAGCGCACATATACATGCTTGTTATCGGTCTCGTAATACTCGGACGATCGTGTTGCTAACCGAAGTAGGTACATATATGTATATACTTACTCGAGTTATCTGGCCTGTTTGTCCTTCGTTACAATTTTGTTATGTTTCTTCGCGCTTCTTTTTGCATATTCCTTCGCAAAAAAATAAAAAAAAAAGATCGTTACGCAATTATCGGTAAGTTAGAGGGAAAATTTAGATTTTATCGTTTCTTTATACGTACGTTCGTTGTTTTGTAGCATGTGAGAAAATTATCGTCGACGTTTCAGTATCGCATTTATGAATGTCAAAAACGATTATAGCGATGTGCATGATTTGGTAACAAAATGACCGAATGAAAATTCCTGACGTCACTAATAATCATTCAATAGATTGCAACGTTGCTCGAACGTTATATTTTCGCACGACTGTCGCTTGAGAAGTTTTTACATTTTCTCGATACGCGTGTTGGCAGTACACGTGTTTTGAATTGTACTCCAAACTGCTGAATCAATACCACGAGAAATAAGAATGAAATCAACGTTTCATAGTGAGAGGAACGAGCAGCGGTGTAATTGTCATCGCTCTGAATAATCAAACTTGACAAACTTTTGATAAAGATGCAGAAAATCATTCGTATTACTTGTTGATGTTTTTCACCATACTTTGGTCTATACAATTTCAGATGATGTCACATTCGCTTGACGATTCAAGTATGTACGCTGCAGCCCGAGGTTTACATTATTCGTAGAAAGGAAAGAATTGTAATGTCAACGTGTTAACAAGCATCTCCAATTTGGACATTGTAAATATTACTTTGAGCCAGCCAAAACTGGACAAGTACATTGGGCAATCTTTTATCAAGTGATAAATCCAGCTTATCGATCACGTTGCGTTGCTTAAATCAATTCCCTTGTGAAACGTGATAATGTGGCTATACTAATTAATGAACTTTCAGATCGTTGAAATACACTACCTTCGACGCTACGTATGTACATGAAACATGTATAATGGCTGGACATTTATTGGCAGACATTTATTAAACATTAAAGGCTGGTTGAATCTTGAAGCATATAGTTTGGACCTCATTTCTGGCAACGATTTCGCGTCGGTACGATTAGGAACCATCGTACACGGCAGCCAGGGCATACACAGTTGACAAACATGGGAGCGGCATATCGGGTCGATGACAAAAAGAATAAAGGGAAAAAAAAGAGAGGAAAAGGGAAGTAGCTGGGATATAGGGAGGAAGAGAGTATACTTTGACTCTCGACCTTTCCTACCTAGCCTTTCGTGTATTTCACTCGCTTTATACCTAGGCGTGGCCTATGTTCCCTTGCCTCGGCGAACTATCGCGCTTCCGGTATAATCGTACGGCGGAATTAACATCGGCTTAAACGAGGGATCGATCGTGCCCTCGTGATTTCTCAAAGAAGCACGAACATCCGATCCGGACTTTCTTTCTCAATTCAGAGTTATCATTTGGAATCGGTAAAGTAGTTTTCAATATAAGTAGCTTTAAATACCAAGTTGTGAAATAGTTTTGAAAATATTCGACTTTCTCCTGACTAATCGGAAGATTCTCTTCCAGGCTAAACGAGTATTTGACGAATACCCACAATGATACTCAGAAATGACGAATTTCGAGGGAACGCAACGAACGACTGATAACGAGGGCTATTCTCGTCTTTCGCGTCGACGAAAAAACACGCTGATTCATCAGGGAGCCATCGATCGCAGAGACATCGTTTTATCGATAAGGAGACCGAAGGAAAAGGAACGAGAGAATTGTCACCGGGGAGCTGTCTATTTGCTTCTGCATAGCTTCGTGGTTCCTGATTTCGCGGTCGATCAGCCAAAAGAAGTACGACGACGCCGTTGGTAATGTCGCTTCTAAATGCGTCTCTGGATGTACGTGTCCCGCGAGAGAGCTCCTCTAAAGTAAATGTGACTTTAACGAGCAGCACGAGGAACGGAGGAGCGATGGGGAAACGACCTGCGCGCGGATTCGGGCGCGGTCAATGCCGTCTAGATGCTCGCTATTACTATCCGGACCGCCTGGTATTTTCGTCATGGCCTACTAATACACTCCGCAAATTCTCGCCCTACCACGGGCCGCCGTTCGACGATGACGTGGCCGAGGAAATATGCCGATCGGCAGTCGTGTCGCTGACCGTGATGTCCAATTCCCTCGTTTTTTTTTTTTTTGTACTTTTCTTTATTCTTTGAAAATGAGCCAACAATGTGCCTGTTCTATCCTCGTCGTTGCTCGTGAAAGATTCGCAAGGCGAGATAAAAAGTTTCCTTCACGATTTGAATATGAGTTGAATCGTCGATCAAACTTGCTCGCACGGTTTGAAGAAATTTCACAAAGTGAAATTCCACGAGAGGTTGAATAAATTTCTCAGAAGCAAAGATACCCATGGCGATTGGCAACTGTTTCTGTGAAAGTATCCTTTGGGAACAGCTTCGAATTTTCTAGCCTAATGCGTTTTAGCGGGCAACCGGTGAGCATAGTGATTAAATATTCGAGGAGTTCAAGAGTTTGTTAGGGCAGATGTATTTGCATCTGAAAGATGCACGATTTGTAGGACACAGAGTTTTTTCGATTCAGCGATTTTGTCTCTTGATAATATGCACGTATACGTATAACGAAGGATTGAGAATTATAGCGATATAAGCCGCTCTTGTGACGTTTCTTGTAAAATTACGTTTCGCGTTTTTTGCTATCGCTTTCTTAAGCTGCCGATAATAAACGAGGTTGTAACAACAGTTGGCTATGAAACTAAACATGTAAATTCTCGTATACCGACCATTCTTTTCTGATTTAGAAAAATTCAATTTAATATTTATTCATAGTTGGAAGCTACTCTTTCTTAATCACAAAATGTCAAGTTACTAAAGCTCCCTAGTATCTCCTTATTTTTAAGATTGACTTTTGTAAAAAGATGTGCCATTTACAGTCGGTAAGATAAATGTTAATTGCAAATATTTTACAATGAAAAACTCCCCTTCCATCCCGATATCGCATCATTGATACTAATAAACGGGTAAAGTCGATGATGCAATGTCAACTATGTATGTTCTTTCTCCTTGCGCATCGAACGTTTTTATCTGTTCAGCTCATTATAGATAAAGACAT